GGCGCAGAGCTGGCATGTGGCCAGGGTCTCGGCAAGGAGGTCACCACACTCGGGGACATCTGAGCCACCGCCTGCGGCTGAGAGGGCCGGGGCTTGCACTGCGCCTCCCCTTGGCACCAGAGCCAGCCCCGCAGCTTCTGACCGGTTGGGAAAGGCATGTGGCGGGGCCTCCAGCTGCTCGGATCGTCAGGGAACCCACATTTTCAGGTCCCCAGAACAGATTCCCTAAAGCGAGGATGCCGCTCTGAAGGTAGGCGGAGGGGCAGCCAGGAGCCCTCTGTCCCTGTCCGCGACAAGTGTTGGGAGAACACGGGTCGAACCGAACGAAAACGCGGGTGGAAATGCCCGTTCCGCTCACGCTGCCGGGAACTGCTGTCCAGACAGAAGCGGGCGCTGAACCGTCAGATCGAGGACAGAGGCCATTTGCCACCCTCTGCCCCTCACGTTCAGGGCAGATTTCATCAGGTATTGGGTTAGGTTGCAACAGCCAGGCGCGGGTCCCTGAAGGCAGAGCGTGAGCTTCCGCCTCACCTGGGAGGTGCCGCCGCGTCACCGCCCCCGTGACCTCACGCCCAGCGCTCCCGGAAGATCACGTGGGCCTCGGGCCCCACAGAGCCTCCGCCAGGGCGGTTGATGCAAGAGCAGGGCCCCGTGGGGCTCTAGCGTCCTGCTCCCCAGGGCTCCGGCCGCTGGAGCAGCACAGCTCCCCAGAGCATCCCCACAGCCCCCGTGCAAGAGTCACCGAGGGTTGCGTCAAGCACCCCCAGGGGACCGTCATGGTTGGTGAGCCGAGTGGAAAAAACTGGCGAGTTTCGTTTTCCTGGCAGGAATATCCGACCCCCCTCCTGGGGCGGGAGCACCAATCCCCAGGGAGCACCGCCCCTGCCGGAGGCCGGACCTCCTTCCTGCTGGCTCAGGAGAGCGGCCGCTGACCTGCTCCCCGAGCAGGAGACAGAGGCGGCTTGGCAGGGCCGTCGTGCCTTTGGAGGGCCGTCGCCAACGGCATGATTTCAAGAAGACGCGCCAGGCATCTCTTTGGAATCTGGCTTCCTTGTCGCCCTTGGCCGGTGACTTCCGGAGTCCCTGCTCAGAGGCCGGAAGGGGTCAGGGCAACAGAACCCTCTCCCGA